TGGTAGGGTGGAGGGTCGAGGAAAGAGGGGAAGGCCTTCAACGAGATGGATTGACACAGTGGCTGCGATGATGGGCTCAAGTATAGCAGGGATTGTGGAGCTGGTGCGGGATCGGGCAGTGTTTCGTTCTGCTGTGCATGGGGTCGCTATGAGTCGGAAATGACTCGACGGCACCTAACAACAACAACAATAACATCCTCACAAGAATGCCATGCACCTTATTTGCATTATGAGCAAGCTGTCTAATCCTCTTGGTAGGGCACAAGCCTACCTAGCCATTTGGTGGGAGTTCCAAGACCATGGCTAGAAAGACCATATAAACGTGATCCTCACACTGCACTACTGTCTAATATACAGACTTAATTCAAATTTATTCAATTGTCCTAATAATTTTCTTAGTAACTATTTTTGAAAATTTAGGATCCAATCAAGAAACATACGTTTTACTTGCTTTGTTGTCTTTTTAGTCTCCTTTAATGTAGATTAGTTCTTTACATTTTGACGGAAATACTAAACAGATGACTTTGAATCCTGACAACAGCAGTTTTAAGAAATGTCACATCACCTGTGCTGTTGGTGGCACAGAGAAAAATACTTTATGGAAAAATATAAATACTGATAAAGGTGTTTCAGAAGAGTTGGACACTGAATATGAAGTTTTAAGTATTCTTTATCACAATTATTTAGTTTGTATAAAGAATGTAATAAAATTTTATGTCTGAATAACTCTAAAAGGGACCTTTCAATGCTTTTTAGACTCTTTTAAAAAACTTTTTAAAGAGAAATTTTCAAGTACACTCAAACATACAAAGAATGATATAGTGAACTCCTTTTTACTTGTCACCTAGACACAGCCATCAACTCTCTGCCATTTTTCTTTTGCTCCCCATTTTCTCATTCAATAAATTTAAAATAAAAATTCTAAGTGATACATGTCATGGATTAATTGGCAGTGGTGTTTTTCCTTTCTTAGTGATGTTTATCATCAGTGACATCACAGATTCTGTGAATGGTGCCGTATGGTGCAGTGGTAACCATATTGATTTTCCAATCTTAGCTATTCCTTACCAAACCACATGTTTAGTAAAACGTTCTTCCTTAGGCTTAGTTTCTTTTATTCAGTAAGGCACTGAGTGTGGGTAATTTTACTTTTTGTTCTCCAGAGATTCCAGAGTGTGACATCATTCCAGGGACTATTTTGGTGACAGAAGAAGAGCTTAATAGATGTATTGAGGATATATTCAAGGTTGGTAATTTGGATCACTAGTTTTATCTTTTAATTGGTACTTTAGGAATTGGAATGACTGATCTTAAGTTTTAAACTGTCAAAATCATTTTTTTTTTTTTTAATTAGG